GTTGTGGAGTCTTGTGAGCAAAAATTCTACTTTGTGAGCTACTGGCATTAAAGTTGTGAGCGAGCCATTTGGCTACTGCATAAATTAGTTTGCCCTGGAGCCATCCTTTCTGAGCTCAAACAAAAATCTGTGAGCAGTAGGCTAAAAAACTGAGCTAGCTCACACTGACTCAACTTTGAGGGAACACTGTTGCAGTGTTCCCTCCCCGGAGGGGGAGGGATAAAAAAATGTTAAAATCTAATGAGATTACCCCACAAGAATTCAGCAGCCATTGGGGAATTGCCTAGGTAATCCAAAATGGCTGCCACAGGTTCACTTTGGAACTGGAGAGAAACGGGGAGAGGATGAATGAGTGGGCAGAAAGGATGTGAAGGATGGGGGGAGTGAAGATTCACTAGAAGGAAGGAAAGAACAATGGAGCAGTTGGGGTTGGAAGGAGGGAAAGGGGAGAAGCTTTGATTGGGAGGGAATGACGGAAGTTAGGACTGGAGGTCAAGTGGAAGATGGGTCCACCGTGGAGGGTTAGGCGGGAGGGAAGGAAGCAGGGAAAGGGGAGAAGCTGCAGGGGCTGTGAGGGGGAGGGATGGAAAGCAGGGGTACTGCAGGGCTCTTTTCGTAGCCGGAACTCCTTTGCGTATTAGGTGACACACCCCTAACGTAGCCAATCCTCCAAGAGCTTACAGAGCTCTTCTTACAGGGGCTACCGTAAGCTCTTGGAGGATTGGCTACATTAGGGGTGTGTCGCGTAATACGCAAAGGAATTCCTGCTACAAAAAGAGCCCTGCGTAGGGGAATGACTCCCCCTCCCGTGTCTTTCCAGGTCCCCTTTTCTTTCCAGTCCGACCTTCCCCATCGATCCATCAGTTCCATCTCAGAGCTGTAGCTACTCAGTGGTCGGGTGTGCTGCCTTGAAAGGGGACAGTTGTGAGCTCCAATGTTACCACCACTGCTGAGTAGTATTGTTCCTTCCGTTGCTCCCGGAGGGGAGGGTATTTGTGAACTTCCTGCATTGGGGAGGGGGTTGGACCAGATGACCCCGGAGGTCCCTTCCAAGTCTACGATTCTATGATGACATCCTTGTAGACACACGGTTTGTCATTCCAGAGCTAACTAGGACTGGGCCAGTGAACTGCCCGGATGGGAGACTCTTGGGGAGTGACATCTAGGCCACGCCAAACTCCGAGGAGGCAGGGCGGGGTGGAAGCGACTGAGAAATTCTATCCCGAGCAGCCTCAGGAGCGCAAGGCGTGTTGGTAAAACAAGGCCTCTTGTGTGGGCTCAGAAGTTCTACCCTGGCCCGTCTCCGGTCTGCGTATGAGTGCTTTTTGGCATCCTGATCCATAGTTTTTCAATAAAACATATGTTTTATACCTTTTCCTCATTTTTTTTTTTTTTAAAACCCCTCTCGTCAGCTCCTTTCCCTTAAACTTGGAGACCACGATGACTGACTCCTTTTGGACAGGAGTGTTTTTGGGGATGAGGTAAGGTTTTCTTTGCAGATCACCAGCCCACAAGCGGATAGGTTTTGCTCCTGCACAGCTACCCTTTATAGGCCGGTGGGCTCGTCCGATCTCGGAAGCCGAGCAGGGGTCGTCCCCGTTTAGCAATTGGACGGGAGGCCACCGAGAAAATCCAGGGGTGCTACGTAGAGGGCGATACCAAACCACCGCTGAACGTCTCTTGCCTTGAGAACCCTACGAGGTCACCATTGGTTGGCTGCGACTTGAGGGCACTTCCCACCAATGTTCCCTCTAAGCTGTGGAGTCTTGTGAGCAAAAATTCTACTTTGTGAGCTACTGGCATGAAAGTTGTGAGCGAGCAATTTGGCTACTGCATAAATCAGTTTGCTCTGGAGCCATCCTTCCTGAGCTAAGACAAAAATATGTGAGCCGGAGGCTACAAAACTGTGAGCTAGCTCACACTAACTCAGCTTAGAGGGAACACTGCTTCCCACTACCTGCCCTGACCTGGATGGCCCAGGCTAGCCTGATATCGTCAGATCTCAGAAGCTAAGCAGGGTCAGCCCTGGTTAGTATTTGGGTGGGAGACCGCCAAGGAAGTCCAGGGTCGCTACACAGAGGTGGGCAGCTTCAGGCCATGTCGAAAGTCGTTCTCATTGGGCGTGAGCGTCCCTTGATTATCCACTGCCATTGTAGGAGCCGATCGGGGTTGGTGGGGGATCCTGGAGAGCCCCCACCCCGTAAAGTGAGCCTCAAGTTATTGCAGTGTAGAGCTTGGGCCCTGGAGATCGGGCTCGAGACCCCACTCCACCGTAAACATCACCGTATGACCTTCGGTTTGTTACAAACTTCGTTGGAAACTTTGGTTCGTTACGAACTTTCAGCCCAGTGTACCACACAGGGCCATTGTGTCTTCAAGCACAGAGAGCTTCAAGAGGGAATTTAGAGTCCAGTGGCACCTTTAAGTCCAACAAAGGTTTATTCAAGGTATGAGCTTTCGTGTATAAACCTTTGTTAGTTTTAAAGGTGCCACTGGACCCTAAATTTATTCGGCTGCTTCAGAGCAACACGGCTGACCACCTGGAACTAGCTTCAAGAGGGGATTGGATAAGCGTATGGAGCAGAGGTCCGTCAGTGGCTATTAGCCACAATGTATAGATGAAAGACTCTGCTTGGGGCAAGTGATGCTCTGTCTTCTTGGTCCTTGGGGGGGGCAAGACTGGGAGGGCTTCTGGAGTTCTGGCCCCACTGAGGGACTTCCTGATGGCACCTGGGTTCTGGCTACTGGACTGGACGGGCCATTGGCCTGACCTAACATGGCTTCACTTATGTTTTTATCAGCTTCAAGAGGGGAATTGGATAAACGTATGGAGCAGAGGTTCACGAGTGGCTATTAGCCGCAAGGTATAGATGGAAGACTCTGTCTGGGGCAAGTGATGTTCTGTCTTCTTGGTGCTGGAGGGGCAACAGTAGGAGGGCTTCTGGAGTTCTGGCCCCTTTAAGTCCACCTCTGTTCGTTTCTTTCCTTGATAACTCTATAGGTCGCCATAAGCCAGCTGCGACTTGCCGGCCATTTCCACCACCTGTAATAAACATCTTTCTGGGGTTCCAACCTTGCCTCTTGCAAAGTTACAAGGATAGTTCTAGTAAACTCGTAAAAAGCCGCTGTGCTTTCCACCGTCAGCTCCCTTCGTCGGATCCAAATCATCACATCCTGGAGAGCTGATCATAAGAACATAAGAGAAGCCAATGTTGGATCAGGCCAGTGGCCCATCCAGTCCAACACTCTGTGTCACACAGTGGCCAAAAACACCAGGTGCCATCAGGAGGTCCAGCAGTGGGGCCAGGACACTAGGAGCCCTCCCACTGTTGACCCCTCCCCCAAGCACCAAGAGTACAGAGCATCCCTTGCCCCAGACCGAGAGTTCCTATCTATACCTTGTGGCTCATAGCCACTGATGGACCTCTGCTCCATATGTTTATCTAATTCCCTCTTGAAGCCGTCCGTGCTTGTAGCCGCCACCCCCTCCTGTGGCAGTAAATTCCATGTGTTAATAACTCTTTGGGTGAAGAAGTACTTCCTTTTATCTGTTCTCACCCGACCGCTCAGCAATTTCATGGAGTGCCCACAAGTTCTTGTATTGTGAGAAAGGGAGAAAAGTACCTCTTTCTCTACCTGCTCTATCCCACGCATAATCTTACAAACCTCGATCACGTCACCCTTCCAGTTACGCCACTCCAGACTGTGCTCAACGAACCAAAGGTTGGATTCAGCATAATGCAGTTTCATAGATTGGTTACATTCAATAAACTAACACTCCACTGTGAACGCATTAGGCTGCCATCAGTCCATCAAGGCCAGTATTGCCTACTCAGACTGGCAGTGGCTCTCCAGGATCTCAGGCCAAGGTCTTTCCCACCACCTCCTGCCTGGTCCTTTTAACTGGAGATGCCGGGGATTGAACCTGGGACCTCCTGCATGCCAGGCAGAGGCTCTTCCACTGAGCCACAGCCCCTCTTTACAGCTCTCCAGGGTCTCAGGCCGAGGTCTTTCACATGGTCCTTTTAACTGGAGATGCCGGGGATTGAACCTGGGACCTCCTGCATGCCAGGCAGAGGCTCTTCCACTGAGCCACAGCCCCTCTTTACAGCTCTCCAGGATCTCAGGCCAAGGTCTTTCCCACCACCTCCTGCCTGGTCCTTTTAACTGGAGATGCCGGGGATTGAACCTGGGACCTCCTGCATGCCAGTCAGAGGCTCTTCCACTGAGCCACAGCCCCTCTTTACAGCTCTCCAGGGTCTCAGGCAGAGGTCTTTCACATCACCTCCTGCCGGGTCCTTTTAACTGGAGATGCCTGGGATTGAACCTGGGACCTTCTGCCTGCTGAGCAGCTGCCCTACCATGGAGTCACAGCCCCTCTGGAGGAGGTGTCTTTCCCTGCTCTCTAAAGGGTGGAGTCTTTGGAGCTTACATGACTCCTCACCAGCCCTTTTTAATAACAGCTGGGCCATAGCCGAAGACTATCTCCTTGCAAGGTGCGGTTTTGGTTCCGAGGCGAAATATGTATTTTATAACCTTGCATAACATTCTTTAAAGGAAATTGAATGTTTTAATGAAGGCGAGTACTTAAAGGGGGGGACTATTTATGTAATGCGAAAAAGCAGAATGACCCCAACGTTAAGAAACGCCAGGAAACTCAAACGCTTTTATTTGCATTTTTAAATAAATAGAGCTTGCGTTCCACCATTTTTGTTTATTATGGCTGGTATAGACGGACTTGTAAATTTCGGGGCTTGCTTTGACTTTCGCAGATGTGCAGAATGGAAGTCGACCATATATCTGTTCCCCATTGTGGCCTGGAGGGATGTTGAAGTGCTGCTGTTTGTTCCTTGGCTATTTGGGCATACTTTTTTTTTTGCTCCTTTTCGTCCGGGCCAACACTTGAAGCTGGCCAAAGAGGGACGTTAATAGGCCGAAGTAGGAAAGGGGCATGGAAGCAGTTCTGACGTGTGCATCTTTTTAATGTATGTTTTCCATAGGGCGAGACCCAGAAGGTTGCAGCGGCCACCACGCAAAACAGGAAGACTCCCCCAAGGCGAATGATCCAGAGCAGGTCCTTCAAAAGACGGGAAAGGTAGTGTCTTGCGGGAACCATCCAAACGGCCATATTGTTCTCAAGCACAGGTTTTCTCGTCTTTACCCTATCCCGCAAGGTGTTCTTGAGACTAAAATGGGGACAGTCCACTTCGAGGTGGCTCACGATTCTGTAGCAGAATGCATGATTTGCGCAGAAAATGTTCCAGATTGAGTCCCCAAGAGCCACGAGAACAGAAGTTCTTAAACTGAAAGGATCTTGGCTAGTGGGCCTATGAAAGACCAACCACCCCACCCCACGCCTGAGTATTTGTCGTCAAGTCAGAATATTATTATTATTTATTATTATTTAAAGCAGGGGTATCGGACTCATTTGTTATGGGGGCCGGAACTGACATAAATGAGTCGTTGGGCCGGGCCATGTGTGTCATAAACAGTGTTCCCTCTAAACTAAGCTAGTTCCCTCTAAACTAAGCTAGCTCACAGTTTTTCAGCCTCCGGCTCACACATTTTTCTCTTGGCTCAGGAAGGAGGGCTCCAGAGCAAACTAATTTATGCAGTAGTCAAATCGTTCGCTCACAACTTTAATGCCAGTAGCTCACAAAGTGGAATTTTTGCTCACAAGACTCCACAGCTTGGAGGGAACATTAAAACATTTGAATAATTAAGATTGAAATTTATTTATTTATAGATTTGATTTTTATAGATTTGGTTTTTAAACTGCCCTCTCCCGTATTTGGGGCTCAGGGCGCGGCATGCAGCACTTAAGAGATAACAATCGCATTTAAAATAAGTTAAAAGCAGTAAAACAAATAATTCAATAAAATAATTCAATAAAGCACATAAACAAACAACACTATAACCAGCCCTCCCTCTAAGCTGTGGAGTCCTGTGAGCAAAAATCCTACTTTGTGAGCTGCTGGCCTTAAAGCTGTGAGCGGGCGATTTGGCTACTGCCTAAATCAGTTTGCTCGGCAGCCATCCCTTCCTGAGCGAAGACAAAAAGGTGTGAGCCAGAGGCTAAAAATCTGTGAGCTGGCTCACACTAACTCAGCTTAGAGGGAACACTGACCATAACCCCGAAGGAGGGCCTGTAATTGTTCCTGGGATTATGTCAAACAAGGCAAACAACTCTTTGCCCGCTGGCGAAAGACAACAATACAGTCCACAGTAAACAATGACCAAGAAAAAACAATAAACAACAACTGTGCACTGACCAACCCACCCAAGAGCTATAGAAAAGAGACTTCAATACAACAAGTAATTCAATGCATGTAATCCATCATAGGACAATACACAAATTCATAATATCCCAAAGGGAAAGAACAAAGTCCAGAATAACAACCTCTCATAACAATAAAGTCTGAAATAGATGTCCACATTGAAGTCAGATGTCCAACACTTTTCCTAGGTATTGATTAGTGTTTCGGACTTCAGGTCCTTCCTCAGGAGCTACAAGCCAATACCGGACGTCTCATAGCAGTTTCTTAACAGGTAAACATTATTCAGGTTTTATATGGACCAGGTCTCCTAAGTTTTAGAAAGCACCTACAAGGGTTGCTACTATGTAAGTTGGACCAAATGCCCATATAAGCATTTGGTCTCTTTTCTATAGCTCTTGGGTGGGTTGGTCAGTGCACAGTTGTTATTTATTGGTTTTTCTTGGTCGCTGGCATAAGACACCGATAGTGGGGGCAGACAAATTTCCCGGGGGGAGGGGGTTCCAAAGTTTTGGTGCCACAACGGAGAAGGTCCTTTCTTGAGTTGCTGCCTGTCTAGCCACAGATGGCAGGGCGAACAAAGTCGAGCCTCCGAAGATGACCAGAGTGTATGGGTAGGTTCCTGTGGGGGGAAAAGCGCTCCTTGAGGTGTGTTGGTTCCAGGTTATAAAGGGATTTAAAAGTCCGTGCCGGCACCTTGAGTGAACCATTTGGGGCTAGGTAGGCACCATGCCATATAGCCCTGAACTCCTCTGAGGGACAGTAACAAACAACAATGGATTCCAGTCCACTTAAGCTCATGCTAGAATAGAACTCCGTTAGTCTTTTAGGTGATACCAGAATCGTGATTCTCGTCACTGCAGCAGAATAACGCATCTAGAACTCTGGAAGCGGAAGAACAGGATACAAAAGGGATTTTAAAAAAAAAATCCATTTGGTCAGCTTAAAGGTAAAGGTTCCCTTTCTCGAAAGCCAGTCGAATCCAACTCTAGGGTTGCGGTGCTCATCTCCGTTTCCAAGCCGAAGAGCCAGTGCTGTCCGAAGACGTTTCCGTGGTCATGTGGCCGGCATGACTAAACACCACGGCGCACGGAACGCTGTTACCTTCCTACCGAAGTGGTCCCTATTTATCTACTTGCAATTTCTTGCTTTCGAACTGCTAGGTTGGCAGGAACAAAAGCTTATACTTTCAATAAAACTTTGTTGGTCTAAAACGGTGCCACTGGACTCAAACTTTTATCTGTCTGTCTGTCTGTCATCTATTATCATCTACCTACGCCCCAGCTACCTATCTTTCACCTTCTTCATCTTCATCACCATCATCACCAGTTTGGTGTCGTGGTGAAGTGCGCGGACTCTAATCTGGGAGAACCGGGTTTGATTCCCCACTCCTCCACTCGCAGCTGCTGGATGACCTTGGGCAAGCCGTAGTTCTGTCAGAGCTGTTTTCTCAAGGGCAGTTCTCTCAGAGGTCTCTCAGCCCCACCTACCTGACAGGCTGTCTGTTGTGGGGAGTGGAAAGGAAAGGAGTTTGTAAGCCACTCTGAGACTTTGAGTGAAGGGCGGGGTTATAAATCCAATCTCTTCTTCTTAATCTTCATCTTCATCATCCGCTCTCCCCTTCCTCCCTCTCTCCTTCCATCTCTCTCCCCTCCTACATTTATACCCCCCTTTGGGGACCCAAGGTAGCTTACACCATTCTCCTGTGCAGCATTTTACCATCACCCTGTGAGGCGGGTTAGACTGAGCGTGCGTGACTGGCCCAAGGTCACCCAGCGAGCTTCCATAGCACAGTCTTCAAACCTGGGTCTCCCAGACGCTCTTTACCACCATACCTCACTGGCTCCCCTTGCTAGTAACTGAAAGCACCCCTTCTGGCATTAACTGGGCAACTCCCATGGGTCTTCCAGGTGGTCTACATCTTGGAGAAGAAGCACTCTAGGGCAGCGATGGGCTCCCTCCGCCTCTTGACCGACCGCAACAGCGAACTCTTCAAGAAGTGTGCCATGTTCTCACCCGTGGACCACCGGTTGCCGCGTGCCTACGTGTCCTTGGCCGACTGCCCACCAGACCTCGCCTCCAGACCCGAGGACTACTCCAGCACCCTGTTCATCTGCCATATCGTGGACTGGAGGGAAGACAGCAATTTCGCCCTTGGGTACGTTTCTGCAGCGTCAAGCCCATTCCTTGCATGGGGCAGTCCCCGGTTTTGATCCTCAGCCACTGGAATGATTTGTAATGAACATATGGAGCAGAAGCCCATCAGTGGCTATTAGCCTCAAGGTGTAGATGGAAGACTCTGTCTGGGGCAGTGATGCTCTGTCTTCTTGATGCTTGGGGTGCAAGAGTGGGAGGGCTTCTGGAGTTCTGGCCCCGTTGGTGGACCTCCTGATGGCACCTGGTATTTTTGGCCACTGTGTGACACATAGTGGTGGACTGGATGTGCCATTGGCCTGATCCAGCATTGGCCTCTCTTATGTTCTTATAGGAACTCTCAGTCTGGGGCAAGGGATGCTCTGTATTCTTGGTGCCCGGTGGGGGACAACAGTGGGAGGGCTTCTGGTGTCCTGGCCCTACTGCTGGACCTCCTGATGGCCCCTGGTATTTTTGGTCACTGTGTGACACAGAGTGTTGGACTGGATGGGCTGTTGGCCTGATCCAACACTGGCTTCTCTTATGTTCTTATAGATAAGAACTCTCAGTCTGGGGCAAGGGATGCTCTGTATTCTTGGTGCTTGGGGGGGGGCAACAGTGGGAGGGCTTCTAGTGTCCTGGCCCTACTGCTAGACCTCCTGATGGCACCTGGTATTTTTGGCCACTGTGTGACACAGAGTGTTGGACTGGATGGGCCATTGGCCTGATCCAGCATTGGCCTCTCTTGTGTTCTTATATGAACTCTCAGTCTGGGGCAAGTGATGCTCTGTATTCTTGGTGCTTGGGGGGGGGGCAACAGTGGGAGGGCTTCTAGTGTCCTGGTCCCACTGCTGGACCTCCTGATGGCACCTGGTATTTTTGGCCACTGTGTGACACAGAGTGTTGGACTGGATGGGCCATTGGGCTGATCCAACATGGCGGCTTCTCTTATGTTTTTATGTGATAACAGGACTGGGAGATATCTGTGCCTAAGACCCCAGAGAGCTGCTGCCAGTCCCAGTTGGCAATGCTGATTAACTAGACTGGGGATCAGGAGGTGGTTTGGGTGATATAAGGGAATCTACTTGGCCGTTGACTTGGGCAACGGCTAGCTGACCGGTGGAGCATCTGCTTTCCAGGTTAGAGCGCTGGTATTGCCAGTTAAAACACTCAGCTTGTAGGTGGCGTGAAAGACCTTGGAGAGGCCTTGCCAGTCAGAGTAGACGATAGTGACCTTGATCAGCCAGTGCTTTGCCTCAGTTGAAGGCTGCTTCGTACATGTGAGATTCCATTCACACAGCTCCAGATTGTACATTACTGAAGGGTGTGTACTCACTGGCGTACATTCAGTTGCATATCTTATTCTCCCCCCCCCTTTTTTTTTAATTAAAATATCAAACAAAAGAAAAAGTTTAACAGATTAACAGATTACTAATACCACTCACTCTTTTCTTTGTCCCTCTTTATACCCTTCCTTATTTCTAATTCTTAGTGAAATACCTCCCCTTTTCAGGGGAGTCAATAAAGCTTTTATAAAAAAAAAAAATCAAACAAAAGCAATATGACAAATAAGACCAGTGTGATAATACAGATGCCATTCCAGTACTATAATTACAAGAAAACTTACCTAAGAAACTTCACAACTACTCATATTTTCTAAAAAACCTTCTTTAAAAATAAAGTAGCTCATGAAAGAAAAGATTGGATGACATAATTTCCTTTTCTTGAAGAAACTGTATGATCGGGAACCAGACCGCTTGGAAGTTTCTATAATAAGCATCTAAGTTCTGCGGTCCCGAGGACTGATCTAATTTTTCTAAAACAAAATGAGTCCATATACCGTTGCACCGGTCCATTAAAGAGGGGCCTGTTGCTTTCCTCCATTTCCTTGCTATGTCTATAAGAGAGCCAGTTTGGTGTAGTGGTTAAGTATGTGGACTCTAATCTGGGAGAACCGGGTTTGATTCCCCACTCCTCCACTTGCACCTGGCTGGATGACCTTGGGCAAGCCATAGTTCTGGCACAGCTGTTCTTGAAAAAAGAGCCATTTCTGTCAGAGGACAGGCTGAAAGAGTTGGGTCTGTTTAGCCTGGGAAAGGGAAGGTTTAGAGGGGACATGATTGCAGTCTTCAAATATTTGAAGGACTGTCATGTAAAAGATGGAGCAGATCTATTCTCTCTTGCTCTGGATTGCAAGACTAGATCTAATGGGTGGGAATTACAAGGCAGTCGATACCGGCTCAATATCAGGAGAAACTTCCTAACTGTCAGAGTGGTTGAGCAGTGGAACAGTCTGCCTCGGGAGGTGGTGGATGTTCCTTCGCTGGATGTTTTCAAGCGGAGGCTGGATGACCATCTTTCAGGTGTGTTGTAGGGCTATCTTTTGGCTACGCTCCTGCAGAGTGCAGGAGGTTGGACTAGATGACCTGCAAGATCCCTTCCAACTCTAACATTCTATGAAAATGGTCAATTTGCTGCCGGAGGATCTAGCAAAGGCCGCAAGCATGTATGTCTTTTAAAGGGGATTGGACAAATTCATGAAGAAGAGGTCCATCAGTGGGTTACTAGCTGTGGTGACTAGAGAACACCTCTGAATGCCAGCCTCGGCCTCTATGCCCTGTTGTCGGCCTTCCAGAGGAACTGATTGGCCACCGTGTGAGACAGGATGCTGGACTAGATGGACCACTGGTCCGATCCAGCGGGGCTCTTCTGACGCTCTTGTGTTTTGGGGGGGGGGGTTAGGGGGAGGGGGGGCACTTCTGTGACTCTTGAGCGCCACCTGGTGGTCATCAACAACCCGCTTTCCCCCTTTGAGGGCAGATGTGTTGTCATCAGTTTGCTTGGTTTGTTGAGCGGTGCAAAGTTTGGGCAGTAAGCAGAGGAGACACACTGTGTGTGTGACTCTTTGGAAACATCCTTGGGCTGGCTGTCATAGTCAAGAAGGCGAGACTTGTGTTACACTTTGCTAGCTTGGGACCTCAAACCCCCAACAGCAGGCAAGAAGCAGAGCTTTTGTTCACCTCTCCTAAGCATTCTGCATCTGCGAAAGGTTCATTCCCCGGTCAAGAAGCTATTAAATGTTGTCCCGGGGTGAATTAGTTGGTCATGTCAATGGCCAGCATTGAATATTCTGAAATCTCCCCCTCCCAACTGTTCTCTTTAATGATTGAATTAATTTTTAAATCAATGAAAACTTCTGCCTTGCCAAACAGGTTGCTTCCGGTGGGACTTGACATTATTTTCCGTCACCACCATGAGCAGAGCATTGAACAAGTGTGAAGGGAAGCCTGAAGGGTCTAGAACATAAGAGAAGCCAATGTTGGATCAGGCCAGTGGCCCATCTAGTCCAACACTCTGTCACACAGTGGCCAAAAATACCAGGTGCCATCAGGAGGTCCATCATTGCGGCCAGGACACTAGAAGCCGTCCCACTGTTGCCCCCCCAAGCACCAAGAAGACAGAGCATCCCTTGCCCCAGCTGTAAGAATATAAGAGAAGCCAATGTTGGATCAGGCCAATGGCCCCTCCAGTCCAACACTCTGTGTCACACAGTGGCCAAAAATACCAGGTGCCATCAGGAAGTCCAGCAGTGGGGCCAGGACACTAGAAGCCCTCCCACTGTTGCCCCCCCCCCAAGCACCAAGAATACAGAGCATCACCTGCCCCAGCCTGTGAGTTCCTATCGATACCTTGTGGCTAATAGCCACTGATGGACTTCTGCTCCATCTGTTTATCCAGTTCCCTCTTGAAGCTGTCCATGTTTGTAGCTGCCACCACCTCAGAGAGAGAGAGAGAGAGAGAGTGTTTAGATGGGGTGTGTGTGAGCTTTTGAGTTTGGTAGAGCTTAGGTCATCTTATGGCCAGAAAGATGAGCTTCTGTTCAGGTAGAAAATGGCCATTTCAGAAAGTGAACATTTCCCCTGCAGGATGACGGAGGAAGGAACGATGTAGATTGTTGGGTAAATATTCCTTTTTTTATCCTGCTGGATACCCTTGTTTCCAGTGACTAGTGCCGCTGGTTTGCACCCCACGGCTCGTGCTTCATCCTCTTTCCTTGATTGGACACGTGGGAGGTCAGGGATCATTCCGCGAACCTAATTCGGGGGTTCTGCCGGGAACCGAGTGACATTGCCTTGCCAATGAGCCGGTTAGACTCCTCTGCGTGGTGTTGGTGGGGAATGAAATCGGGAAGGAAAGGGCAGTCGAAATGATCGTTAATGTTTTTCGCAAGGAATGCTGAAAAATCACCTAGAAGGGGTTGTCGAAAATTCGTGCAAAAAAGCAAGGAGCGTTTTTGACACAGATAGAGGAGCGATCACAGCCCCTGCGGCATTAAGGTGCTTGACTGAGAACTGCTGGGGAAGGCAGGGGATTCTGCTTCAGTGGACTGTGGTTTGGACGGATACTCAGTAGCTTCTTCCTCCAGCCTTTATTGTGTGCAGTAGGTCTCCTTGTGCTGTTTTCTGTAGCAAGATATTTCTATTGCTGCAACAGCAAGAGGGTATTGAGGCAGCTCCTCTGGACGCTGTAATACTTGGTCTTCACTGAATGTGGTGTACAGCTCAATATTTTCCAACTTTGAATGAAGAAGAAGAAGAAGAAAAGATTGGATTTATACTCTGCTGTTCACTACCCAAGGGAGTCTCAGAGCGGCTTACAAACTCCTTTCCCTCCCCCTCCCCACAACAGACACCCTGGGAGGTCGGCGGGGCTGAGAGAGCTCTGACAGAAACGGCTCTTTTTTTCAAGAACAGCTCTTATCTGGACTACGGCTTGCCCAAGGTCATCCAGCAGCTGCAAGTAGAGGAGTGGGGTATCAATCCCGGTTCTCCCAGATCAGAGACCGGGCACTTAACCACGACACCAAACTGGCTCTCTGAATGAAGGCACTGGCTGTGGATGGGCTGGGGACAGCTCTGACACCCCCACCCCCAGGCGATCCTCAAGTAAGCTCTGAGCCAGCATTGGCTTCAACATCCTCTTCCCGTCTCTGTGGCCCTGTTATTTGCTGTTTATGCAACGCCA